GACAAGAACCATCTGAGCCTCTCAATATAGATACAGGAAAAAAAAAAAACATTTGACAAAATGCAGCATCCTTTCCTGATAAAAACCTTCAGGAAAGTAGGGATAGATGGAACATACCTCAACATCATAAAGACCATATATGAAAGACCCACAGCTAACATCATCTTCAATGGGGAAAAACTGAGAGCTTTTCCCCTAAGGTCAGGAACACGCCAGGGATGTCCACTCACTACCGTTGTTCCGCACGGCCCTGTAAGTCCTGGCCTCAGCAGTCAGACAACAAAAAGAAATAAAAGGCATCCAAATGGGCAACGACGAAGTCAAACATTCACTTTTTGCAGACAACATGATTCTCTATATAGAAAACCCGAAAGATGCCACCAAACGTTGCTAGAACTGGTACGTGAACTCATCAAAGTCACAGCACATAAAGTCAACATGCAGAAGTCTGTTACATTTCTATACACCAACAATGAAGTGGCAGAAAGAGAAAGCAAGGAATTGACCTCATTTACAATTGCACCAAAACCCGTAAGATACCTGGGAATAAACCTAATCAAAGAGGTAAAAGATCTGTACACTGAAAACTATAGAACACTCATGAAAAAAATGGAAGACACAAAGAAATGGAAAAACATTCCGTGCTCATGGATGGAGAGAACAAATATCGTTAAAATGTCTCTACTAACTCGAAACAATCTATACACTTAATGCAATCCCTGTCGAAATGCCACCAGCCTTTCCCACAGAGCTAGAACACATGCTCCTAAAATTTGTATGGAAACTAGAAAAGACCCTGATTAGCCAAAATGATGTTGAAAAAGAATAGCAAAGCAGGAGGCATCGCAATTCCAGACCTCAAACTCTATTACAAAACTGGAGTCATCAGGACGGTGCGGTCCTGGCACAAAAACAGGCACACAGAGCAGTTGGACAGAACAGAGAACCCAGAAATGGGCCCCCAACTCTAAGGTCCACTAATCGTCAACAAAGTCTGAAAGAACATCCAGTGGGAAAAAGACAGTCTCTTCAACAAATGGTGTTGGGAAAACTGGACAACCACACGCAGAAACTGGACCAGGTTCTTACACCGTATACAAAAATAAATAAAAAAAAAACAAAAATAAATTCAAAATAGATGAAAGACCTCTGTGTAAGAAAGGAAGGCGTCAGAACCCTAGAGGAGAACTGAGGCAGCAACCTCCTTGACCTCAGCCTCAGCAACTTCTTACTAGACGCGTCTCCCGAGGCAAGGAAAACAAGAGTAAAAATGAACTATTGGGGCGTTGTCAAGAAAAAAAAAAAGCTTCTGCACGGGGAAGGAGACAGTCAACAAAGCTAAAAGGCAACCTATGAAATGAGAGAAGATATTTGCAGATGACATCAGATGATCTAAAATCTATAAGGAACTAATGGATAAAGAAGACGTGTGATATACGATGGAATATTCCGCAGCCGTTAGAAAGGACGGGTGCCCACCACTTGCTTTGACGTGGATGGAACTGGAGGGGATTAGCTGAGTGAAGGGAGTCAGTGGGAGAAGGACAATCGTCATATGGTTTCACTCATACGGGGAATAGAAGAAATAGAGGGATGATAGGAGAAAGGAGGGAAAATGAGTGGGAAAAATTAGAGGGAGACAAGCCACGAGCGACACCTAACTCTGAAAAACAAAGGGTTGTGGAAGGGGAGGTGGGCGGGGGGACGGGGTGACTGGGGGACGGGCACTGAGGGGGGCGCTGGACGGGATGAGCACTGGGGGTTATGCTATATGCTCGCAAATTGAATTTAAATTAAAAAATGTAGGAAAACAAAACAAAACAAAAAAAACAAAATCCATGAAGAATTTATCAAACTCAACACACATAATAATCCAGTTAAGAAATGGGCAGAAGACGTGAGTAGACCCTTTTCCAGAGAAGAGATCCAGATGGCTACGGGCACACGACGGGATGCTCAGCATCTCTCATCACCAGGGAAATACGGCTCGAAACCACGAGGAGGTGGCACCGCGTGCTTGTCCGAAAGCCTGAGATGAGCGACTCGGGGAACAGCAGGTGGCGGCGGGGACCTGGAGGGGAGGGGCTGTTGCTGGGAACGCAGGCTCGCGTGTGGCCACTCTGGAAAGCAGACGGGAGGTTCCTCAAAAAAATTAGAAATAGAGCTACCGTGTGACCTACCAAGTGTACCATTAGGTGTTTATGCAAAGGATACAGAAGTGCTGACTGCAAGGGGCACGCGCACCCGCACCTGTAGCAGCGCGGTCGCAGCTGCCAAGTCACGGGAGAAGCCCAAAGTCCTTGGAGCGGTGATGCCCGGACGGAGATGGGCTGTGCGTGTGCGTGTGTGTGCGTGTGCGGTGGAACAGTGCTCGGCCGCCCCGAGGGATGAGATCTTGCCGTTTGCAACAATGTGGGTGAGACTAGAGGGTACGATGCCAAGTGAAATAAGTCAAAGCAAGACAAATACCGTGGGATTTCACTCGTATGTGGAATTTAAGAAACAGAACAGGAGAACATAGGAGGAGGGAAGGAAAAATCAAATAAGATAAAGACGGAGAGGGAGACAAACCATAGGGTCGCTGAAGGGGAGGTGGGTGAGGGGACGGGCTGAGTGGGTGACGGGCACCAAGAGGCATGAGCACCGGGTGTCGGATGTGGGTGACGAATCATTGGATTCTGATCCCAAAACCAGTGCTGCGCTGTATGTTAAATAACTTTAAATCGAAAAAAATTATATATGGGGCCCCTGGGTGGCTCAGTGGTTGAGCATCTGCCTTGGGCTCAGGGCGTGACCCCAGGGTCCTGGGATCAAGTCCCACGTTGGGCTCCCTGCATGGAGCCTGCTTCTCCCTCTGCCCGTGTCTCTGCCTTTCTCTTTCATAAATAAACAAAATCTTTTTTTTTTAAATAAACAAAATCTTAAAAAAAAATCATATATCTCGGTGTGCCTGGCTGGCTCAGTCAGTGGACCTTGTGACTCTTGGTATCAGAGTCGTGAGTTTGAGCCCCATGTTGGGTGCAGAGCCTACTTAAAAAAAATAAAATAAATTAAAATAAAAAAAATGTCTAGATGCTAGCCTTAAGATGTGTGAAAGGGTAATTGGTTAAACAATTTTCTTGTTGTTTGTTTTTAGAACAAACTATCAGAAAGAGAAATTAAGAAAACAATGCCGTTTACGATAGCATCAGAAGGAACAAAAATAAAAAAAAAAATAAAGAAAAAAAACAAAAAAACACCAGAACAAAAAAAGAAGGAACAAAAATACTCAGGAATACATGTACAAAAAAAAAAAAATAAATAAATAAAATAAGAGGAACACATGTACCGAAGGTGGTGAAAGGTTTGTGCCGTGAAAGCTCTAGGACACGCGTGTCAACGTGGCGGATGTTACTCAGCCACAAGGAAAAGGGAAATCCTGCCTTTTGCGTCCGCGTGGGTGGAGCCTGAGGGCCTCACGCTAAGGGAGAGGAGTCGGAGAAAGACAAAGACTGTAGGATTCCGCTTAGGTGGGATCCGAAACCTCCGGCTTGTAGGAACAGAGCGGGGATGGGGGTTGCCAGGGCCCGGGAGGCGGGGGGCAATGAGGCCCGGGGTCACAGACTCTGAGCTTCTGGTTATAGGATGAAGCCGGGAGCTGACGGGAGGATGGGTTTGGGGATGGGAGCGTGTGTTAGCTGCCCAGGGTTTCCCGCCGTGAGGCCGGATGGACGATTCTGAATCGTGCTGCCCCCTTCTAGGGTCTGCTGGCCACCCTCGGTCCTGGCCCACTGTCTCGTGGCCGTCGGCTCTCGGGCGACTCGGGGTCCAAGCTTCTCTCGTAGAAGGACGATGGCCACATTGGACTAGGGGCCCCGCACCGCCCGGTAGGACTTCGCTCCTTACAGCTGCAAGGACCCGATTTCCAATAAGGTCACCTCCCGAGGTGCCGGGGGTTCGGGCTTCCACAGAATCATTTTTGGGGACACAGAAAGAGGGTGGCAGTCTACGGGGGTGGGGAGTGGCTGACCCAGTGGCGATTAGAATCGGCACTTGGGGGGCCTCCGACTGGAGGGTGTGCGGTCGTGGAGGGGCCACGGAGAAGGGACATGTGTTCCTTTTCTCATTTAAAACTGGGTCTAGGGACTCCCTGTAGGGCTCAGCGGTTTGGCACCTGCCTTTGGCCCAGGGTGTGACCCTGGAGACCCGGGATCGAGTCCGGCATCGGGTTCCCTGCATGGAGCCTGCTGCTCCCTCTGCTTGTGTCTCTGCCTCTCCCTCTCTGTGTCTCTCATGAATAAATAAATAAAAAAATCTTAAAAAAAAATAATAAAACAGGGTCCAGGTCGGATGCGCTCGCCTCCAGGGCCGCGGGAGGGGTGTCGGGCAGGGTGGGGAAGGGCCATGCGGGGCCGGGCTGCGGGATCTGGGGCGCCAACTTGGGCAGAGGCCCGGGGGCAGGTGGCCGGGCTCCTCCGCAGCTCGCGGGGTGCAGCGCGTGAGGGGCGGCCCTGGCTCGGGGGAGGGAAGCAGGGGTGCAGGAGGAGCCCGTGCATCCCTGTCCCGGGTCCAGCTGGCCTCTCTAGGCGAGGGCCCGCCGTCGCTGCAGCGGCTCCTTAGTTCCTGACCCGACCCTACGGGCGTGGCCGTGGCGGTGGAGAAGGTGTGAGTGGAGGGCAAGGGGGCACCAGATCGTGGTTTTAATAGGATGACTCAGGCTTTGACCATCTTCCCCAGGACAAATCCTGCTGCTTTGGAGACTGGTTTGATTTCTGGAAACACCCGAATGTCACTGGGCGCCGCAGTGAGGGGTTGGACCGGGGAGGAGGCCCGGCGCGTGTGGCCGTGGCTCTGCGTGGGCTAAAGGGCTCGTGGGAGGCTGTGACCTCACGGTCGCCGCCCGGCCTCTGGGCTTTGGGGAGGGCTCCGCTCTCCGTCTCCCCGGGGCCCACCCCACAGAGCACAGACACAGGCGAGTGGGATGCTTCAGTTTAATCACGCGGGGCTGCGGCGACTGGGGCCTGGAGTCCCGGGACCCCTCCTCTTTGGCGTCTCAGACTCAATCTAATTGAATTGTGGAACAAGGTTTTTCAGATTTCGTCCAAATTCGGCTCCACCTAGGAGGATGCAGAGGTTGGGATGCAGCCTGGGGGCCCCCCGGCCCCGGCTCCACCCTGTGCATCCCCCTCAGCCCTGTCTTCTGCTTTCCAACCTCACGCGGCCCCCGGGACCCCCCTTCCCCACCTGGGCAGGATCTCAGGCTGCGGCTCAGACCCCAGGTGCAACCTGGCGTCATGCAACCGCATGGCTCGAGTGCGGATGAGAAACTGGAGACGTTTGAAAGAGGGAAGTTTCCAGGGGGCTGCAGGGGCCCCGATGCTGGGTGCCGGGTGCTCCTGTTCCCACAAGGCTTTGCCCTGGGAAGCACTCACGGTCATAAAGACTTTTCCCGAATTGACGTCCCTTATCCAGCCTTTTTTCTGCTCCTTCTAGGCCTTGTCCTGCGAGCGTGAGACCTCTGCTTAGCAGGGATTCTAATTGGGGAGCAGAACAATGACTTTAGCAGGAAAGTCACGTTATTTCAAGAAAACTCCCGCTTTCCCCTCCCACCCCTCACGAGACGTGGTCGCTCTTCCCCGCGGGGAAGTGGGGGGGGGCCGGGGGGAGAAACCACACAGGCCGCAAGCCACCCCGCAGAGCTCCGGGTTGGGGTGCACACGTGCCCCCCGCTGTGCTTGTCCCCAGGCTCGTCTCCATGGGCCAAGCGCCAGCAGCCCCCCGACACCCCTCTGGGTTGTCGCCCGCCCTCAGACGGAGAAGCTCACTCAGTGGGCTCTGGTCCTCTCCATGCGGGGCAGCGCCCTCGGGCTCCTGGGCCGCCTTTTGGGGCACAGCGGGGTCCGCGGCGAGTGTCGAGCCTCCGGGGTCGGCTACAGACAGTGCAATTTGTTGATTTTAGCAAAGTCAGAGCGTGTCCTAGCTTGGAAGGAGCGGCAGGGCCCCGGGACACCGACGCTGCACCGGCCCCAGGTCCGGTAAGGTCTCTACCCTCGAGGCCTTGCTGGGGCTGAGTGCCCCCGCCTCCAACCCCAGCAGGGAGCCCCTAACTCTCAGCAGGACGGTCCCAGGAGGTGCGGCCTGCACGGGAAGAGGTCACGGGGGTGGGGGTGGGGGTGGGGGTGGGGGTAGGGGTGGGGGGAGCTCTCTCGGTGGGGCCGGTGCCCCCGTGAAAGCCTCCAGGGCTCCTCCTGCCTGTGAGGGCGGACGACCATGAGCTAGCAGTGTGCACCCTGCAGGGGCCCTTCCCTCGCCTCCGGCCTCCACCCCATCCCGGTGCCGGCCTCTCCCCTTGAAGGCAGAGCCCGAAGGGAGGGAAGGACTCACCGGCCGCAGCCCCTGGGGCGGGATCCGAGGAGTCACCTTCTGCAGCGGGAGAAAGAGGCGGCGGTGAGGACTGAACCTGACCCACGCGAGTCCATCCCGCCTCCCGCGCCTTATCCTCGGCCCTTGGGAGAGTTCGTGGGCTCAAGGAGACACGCTTCCCCCTTGGTCCTACTGGCCCATCGGCGGATCCCCCGGGGCGGACTTTCTGGTGTTTAACCCGTCCTACGGCTGTTGGAAGCCGGTTCTCCCCATTGCCTCTGGCCTGTGAGGATGCCCTGAGATCCCCGCGGGGAACCGGCGGTGCTTGGAGGCGCTCAGGGCCCCCCGTGGCAGACGGGGACAGCGCAGGGGCCGTGGGTCATGCCTGAATGGTTTCTGGGCTCGGACCCAAGCCCTCATTGTCTTTATCCTTTCAGCACGATGTTCACGCCAAGCTCTCTGCTAAGTGGAGGGGGGTTCAGTGCCCAGGACGTGGGAAGACCCCGCCCTGACCCAGCTCCCACTCCAGGACATAGTCACGGGGTCACAGCGTGATGGCGCCGGAAGGGCAAGCACAGAGGGGTGTGATAAGGGGTCTAAGTTTTCCTACATTTGCATGGAAGGCTTTTCTTGAGGAATTGCCATCTACACTGACATGTGACGGATGAGACAGCATCGGGCCAGTGACACTCGGGGTTGGCTGCGGGGAGGGGACAGGGACGGGAAAGGACTTCTAGGCAGAGGCAAGAGCAAGAAGGAAGGTCCCCGGGTTCGAGGAGCAGCAGGGCCGTCCCGGCCTGAATAGTGCTTTTCGGACTTTCTCCGAAAGAGGCATCCTGAGACCCAAGGCCACGGGCACACGGAGTATGGGCTGGATTCCGGTCCCCGCTGCTCCCTGCCTGGTGCTCTTGTGCAAGGGGACAACCCGCCCAGCTGTGTGCGTGGCCCGGAAGCCCCGCAGGAAGGCCAGGGCCGGAGCACAGTGGGCAAAGGACGGCGTGTGAAGAGATGAACCGGGAGACTAGGCACAGCCAGGGGGCTCCTGGGTCCCCACCCGGGAGTAAAGGGCCTGCGGGTAGAAAGCTGGGGGCAGGGGTCAGTCCCTCGCTGGGGCAGGGGGAGCCAGCACCCCGCTGGGAGAAACAGAGAGGAACGAAGCCTGGAGGTAAGCCCCGGGGGGTCGGGGCTCCGGGGCGCTGCAGGGGGAGGGTCGTACTCACCGGCAGAGACCAGGGCCCCCGCCAGAGCCGCCAGCCAGAGGAGAGCCGAGAACCTCATGCTGTGGGACGACGCGGGAGCTGCACCCACAGAATCCTCAGAGGGTCCGAGAATGCCAGTGCTGGTGCTGCCGGGCCCTTTTAAGGATCCCAAGGGCCAATGGGAACCCAGTTGGGAGGCGTGTGACTTCCGTGTCCTCCTCCTCCCCTTCTTCCCCAAACTGTCACGCGCTGAGCCAACACGGGCTAGGTGGGGCCGGTGGCCCCCGGGAGGTCCTTCCGCTGCCGACTTCCAGCCGTCCTTTTCCTCCTTCCTTTCTTCTTCATCCCACTTGCCCTATGGGTCCGGTCTCTGAGGTCTCAGGGACCCGGTGCAGAGCCAGTTTTCTTTTGGGGGAGATTCTGGAATGTGTCTGTCGGGGGTTTCGGGAGGACAGGCAGCTTCCCAGGAGGAGGGTGGGTGGGTCTGGAAGGTCACGTTGTCTACGTCTTGCCTTGATGCGCACAGGACTCAGTGGGGGCCTTGAGGGTTTCCCCAACACCTCCTTCCCCAGGAGCCCACACTATTTGGGGACTGAGTCCATGGCTCCTTCCTCCTCGTGAGGGGACAGCTTTGGAGGCACAAGTGACTTCTCTAGACTTGTCCCCTGCTCTCGGAGCCATTATCTACCTGCCAGGGGGATCTCCCCAAACTCCACGTGGGTCCCGTCAACCTCCATCTTCGGGCCCAACTGATGGGAGCCCACATTTCTGACGGGATCTTGTGATTCCAGGACCGTGGCGGTTCCCCCAATTTGGAACTTGGTTCTCCCTTCAAGTGGGGAGCTGACCCATGGTGTGAACAGTCCAGAAAAGCAGATAATTCTCTTCGGCTTGGGATTTCTTCCTTCCTTGAGCTGGGATTCGAGAGGCCGGGGTTTCAAGTTCTGGCTTTGTCCTTAGACATAGGGCAGTACGTGGTTCTGTCCTGAAGGACTTTAGGGTTTTCCTTTGCCGTCCAGGAGTTACACAGCTCCTAGGTGGAGGACGGCGATGGAGATTGGGTAGGATAATGCACGGCTAAGCATTTTTTGAGACGATACGTTTCTAGGCAGATGGGTGGGATACTCGTAGTTTGCAGAGGGCTCCTCTTTCTGGGTGGGTTTGGCTCAGGCTGGTGCTAAGTGCTAAGTAGAATGAGGTCAAGCAGGAACAGGAGCCCATTGAGGCGCCGGTGGGTGGAGAATTGGGTCCCGGATACCAGTCTGTGGTTCTACATTTGCTTGGTGTTGGCTTTCCCTAGGCCCCGAGTGGTCCTGCAGGCTTCTCCGCCTCAAGGCTGCTCTGGAGGTTGGTGTGGAAAGGGGGTATCAGGAGGTTTATAACATGAGGGCACGTAGGTGCCGGGGTTCAGGGCATTAGTCTCCTCTTGAGATAGAGGAAGAGAAAACTGATAGGGTGGGACACCACAGGCATGAGGACCCGCTGGTCCTTTTCGGGCCCTCCTTAGCCCTGCTTCATCCATCCTTGACTTCCAGGTAAGACGACAGTCACTTCGGGCAGCTGGTCGACTCCCAACGTGGTGAGTGGGAACCGGTTAATGTAACTGGTCGCCCACTACCTCCCTGTGTGATTTGATCGTTAAGATTTATGTGGCATCTGATGGTGGCCTGTAGGTGAAGAAGAGGGGTGCATTGAATCACCCCAGGGATAGGACTCAGCGTTGACCGCCCGCCTAAGGGTTCGGGCCTGGGAGCCTTGGGGGTGGTGGTGTTGGCCCGGGCGTGATGGGGAGACCCTGAAGGTCAGCAGAGAGTTTTGACTGTATCAGTGCCCTGGGATGTGTGTGCATGCGTGCTTGGGTCCGTGTATACACGATAGTAGGACAGGCTCGGAGTCTAGAGCCCAGTTTCCACGAGCACATCGAAAAAATCCAGCAGGAGCAAACTGGTTATTTACACAAGTCCTTTCCAAGAGGAAATGAGAGCTTTGGCATCGACACCAGAGCTGTCACGGAGCAGGGTCTTTTCAAATGTCACTGCTCCGCCCTTTTCCTCTTCTAATCCTCCGCGTGGCCTCCTGAGTTAACGAAGCAGGTATTGACATACGTGGGCGTGAGATGGAGGGCGCGGACATCTGTTCTATAGGAGAATGTCAGTATTTCATAACGGGGGCCCAGAGGAGGTGTGACCCCAGGCTTTACGGCCTAGCCGAGAATTGGGTATGGAGAGTAAAGAAAAGGGCTGCAGCTCATGTCCGTGGGTGAAAAGCTACCTTCTGTGATGATGTCTCATCTTCTAGGGCAGCTGACGTCCACGCTGACTCTGTCGCCAGTGGCTCTTTTCTCGTGTCCTGCTTGTTGTCCACGCAAGGCAGGCAACAGTGCAAGGACAAGCGACGCGTCCCCGACCTCAGGGGTAGGAGCGGAGCTGGAGCGCTCGGCTGCCCCCCTCGAGCTGACCCTGCCAGGCATCCCACCCCTCCCAGGGAGAAGGGGATCCGGATTTCCATGTGAAGTCGCCTCGTTTATTTATTTCTCCTCCTCCTCCTCCTCCGTCTTTACATTTTACGTGGTATTTTTACTTTCTATTTTGACATGACTTCAGACTTACAGGGAATTTGCAAAAAATAGTGCAGAGTCTTTGCAGCTGCCCCCCGGGAGCTGGAGGCCTCAGATGCTCGCTCTGTCGCTCCCGCGTCCCTTTGTCTGTGTTTTCCTGAGCTTTTGGAGCGTTGAGCCGGGCGTCCAGCCCTTGACTATTTCCGTGACGGCAGATCCCGGTCCTAGTGGGTTAGTCTTGTCTTTGGGAACAGCAGTTAAGTCACCCGCCAGGATCCGGTGGCGTTTTCTTCTTCTGCAAACAGCGCTTCCTTCCAAGCCTCCCTTTCCCACGTTGTAGGGACCTATTGAGCCGATTCGACGTGTTTCAGTGTCTTTCGGTTGCCAAGAGTCCTTCCAGTTCAAGACGTTCCCTCCTGCTCTTTCCCCAGCAGACGCTTAGCTGGAGCGACACGAGAGGGGGAGGCGGCGGCCCTGAGTCTCAGGAGCTGGGGCAGGGCGGGCCGAGATCTTCTGAGGTAACTGGTCGACCTCAGCGCAGGGCAGGGTCCTCAGCTTCCGGCGTGGCCTCCATTCCTCTTCTCCTCTGCTCCTCTAGGGACTTCCGTGGATGCAGGGGGTGACGGTCCCCAAGGGGATGGTGTCCAGCCTCCCCCTGGCTCCTGCCGTGGCCGTGGGACCCGTCAACAAGCGGCGTTCCCGGGGGTCCTGCTGGGGACCCACGGCCCAGCTCCCTCCCAGGTGCTGCCCCCTGCCTCCTGGCCTGGGACCCTCCAGGAGACTCTTGGGCCTCGACCGCTGCTCCAAGTGTGTCCACGAGCTCACCGGGACGTTCCCAGTTCTCTTCCCTGCCCTCCCAAGGCTCCGGAGGCTGAGGCGGGAGTGTCCTCTTGCATCTCCTCCAGAGCCTCCCAGGGGAAACCTCCTGCCCCGACAAGTCTCAGGTGAGAAGCAGGCACTTCTGTTGTTCACGCTGCCCCACGGCAGAAGTTGCCACAGGGACACCGACTGTCATCTGATCGTCTTCCCGCGAGACGTTTCCCAACCCTCGTGGGTAAGGGCGGCCACGACACTGAGTTCTTGCCGACGACACGTATCGTTTGCTAGTGTCGCCCAGACAAACCTGCAAGCAATCAGTTGCACGCTCCTTCTAGTTTTCTGCAGTTGGAATGATGATGGAGATGACAGGATGGCCTTGATGCCAGGTCTTGAAGTTGGCAGGACAGTTGCCAGCCCGAGTCCCTAAATGACGACACGGAAAAGACTGACCACTGCCCTCTTCCCTCAAATCTGATAACGTAATCGAACACCAATAAAAAATAAATTTATATATATAAAAAAATATGATACGTGAGAAAGATGCAAACGTATGTGTTTGAGACTTTACGCTTTGGGTGGTTGTTTATAGTAGTGTAGCCTCCCCCACTCCCTGGGGACACAGGCTGTCCCCCGAGCTGTCCTTCTGTGCTCCAGCCCGGGCAGCTCCAGGTCAGTTTGGAGCAAAAACCCATCCAGAGAAGGTCCCCTTAGACTAGAACCTCCGGTCTATGAGCGATTCCTATAGCCCCTTACTTGACTTGGAGGATGGTGAGAGCATCTCCCCCGCTTCAAGGGGGCATTCGAGAAAAATCCCTTTGGTAGGCGCACTGAATTCCCCACAGAGCCAGTGACCTCGATGACTCGATTTTTCTCCTACTCCACGTGAGAGAATGCTAGTCCTGGGGCTGGTTGGGGTTGGGTGGCTTTTCCAACTCTTGGTAAGTCCCAAGGGTGGGGAGCAGGGGGGTGTAATGCTCCAGGTGTCAGGAGTCCCCCATGGAATGTAGGGACAAGTGGCCTGCGGGTTCCAGCAGGGCACCCTAGTGCCAGCTCCGGGGCTGTGGACAAAGTCTCGCTCAACATTCTGGCCCGCAGTAGAATGTCAGTGGGCAGGGAAAATGGGGAATACGACGGCAGCCAGCTTGGAAACTGAGGCTCAGCCCCTGCGGACATGGGTGAGGGGGTGGGTGTGAGTCAAAGAACTTTCTGGGAGCTCTCTGCGGAAGGTGCAGTCTGGAAGTTCAGGGTGAAGGACCAGGGTGCCCTCATGGGGGGGCTCCTCCAGCCGGTGGGGGCCCGACTGTGCTTTTCACTTGACTTCTCCTTAAGGACGACACACACATTTACTCTAAGTTTGGTGCTTTCAGTTTAATAATGGTTTTGTTTGTATTTTTAAAATTTTATTTATTTATTTATTTACTTATTTATTTATTTATATTTATTATTTATTTATTTATTTATTTATTATTTATTTATTTTTAAGGATTTTATTTATTTATTCATGACAGACACAGAGAGAGGCAGAGACACAGGCAGAGGGAGAAGAAGCTCCCTGATGTAAGACTCAATCCCAGGACCCCGGGATCACGCTCTGGGCCAAAGACAGACACTCAACCATTGAGCCACCCAGGCATCCCGATGGTTTTTTTATTTTATTTTATTTTATTTTATTTTATTTTATTTTATTTTATTTTATTTTATTTTATTATTTTATTTTATTTTATTTTATTTTATTATTTTATTTTATTTTATTATTTTATTTTATTTTTTTGATGGTTTTGTTTTTAAATTAAATTATTATTATTATTATTATCATTATTATTGTTAATTTTAGGTTTTAATGCTACTGTGCTAAAGCCTGGTGCTTCTGGGCATCATTTTGCAGTTTCCCATTATAGTTTTGGCCCCAAGTTAGTTTCATCTTTAATATGATGGATGTCATCGTATAGGTTCGCTGTAGGAAAATGAGAAAAGGAGGTTGAAAGACAGGAGGAGAGAGAGTTGAAGCTGGAGAGGGAAGGGTGAGAGGGAAGGGAATGTGAGTGCTGCCTGGGGCCCGGCTCCACCCTGTCCATCCCCCTCAACCCTGCCTTCAGCTTTCCAGCCTCACCAACCCCTGGAGGGCCTTGCACGGAAGTTGGGACAGAGGCTGAGATTCGCCAGAGGCTGAAGGAGCTCCTCTTTCCCACTGGGCAGGCTTTGCAGTGGGAGGGCTGGGGCTGAGACCCGGGCGATCTGGCATCAGGCAACCGTGGTAGTTGGAATATAGAGGAGAAATCAGAGATATTTGAAGACGCGGCAGGAGGGAAGGCCAGTGGGGAGGGGCGGTGGGGGTCCCAGGTCTTCTGTGTGGGGTTGACT